TGCATCCGATTTAGTCCATTTAATTCCCGATTATCATTTAAATTTTCAAAATAATATCATACAATATACTCTATTTCGATTATCATATATTGCATCCTCCTCTTCCACCGAGACAACCAACTCAGCATGAACTTCGAGCTGACATACCATATTTCAACGTTTTAACGAACGTGTATCGACCCGAGTAAATGTATGTACAATATAAATTGCAAATATATAATACTCACCTGAGGATCGTCGAGGATAACTATCAAATCTTTAGCCGATGGCTTTTCATGTGCTCGCCAATGAAGCATTCGTGGGCAGCTAGTCTCCCTTCTGATCGTCCATTTGCTACCCAAAGCAGGGATAGCCTCATATGCCCACAGCTGCAAAATTACAAAATAAAACTTTACATATATATTTAATAAAAAAGTTCAACACGCATTACGTTACACTGAATATTTACCTGCAAAGCCATGCAAAAACCATATACATCATATTTGCGATCGCCCCTCTCCGATTTCGGCATAGTGTGTACCCTTCTGAATACATGGAGAGTATCGGTGTAACATCTCTGACCCCATGGAAAGCTGTTGAAAGCATCGATATCATCAACAACATCCAATGAAAAAAGATCAATCGACGTCCTGCGATGTCGACACCTCAATATACTCTCCAGTATATACACCAACCCTAACTTCAACTTGTCTAACATGTGATCGCATTTTCTAAATGCGTCCTCTAACTGTGGTGGTGTAACTGGCCCTTTACCTCCAAAATATAAATCCAATAACCTTTTATTTTGTATAATACGGGTTCTAGCTTCTTCTTCCCCGGTACATCTCAAGCCCGTAATCAAGGCAAATTCAAGGATCAAGAATCTACATACCTTCCCGTCCCCAATAGCAAAATATAACTGATCGCCATCGACTGGTTTAAGCAGCCGGAGTAATAAAGAATCAACAATCTGTCCAGAGAATTGCACGTCCTTCAACGGATAGAACGACCATAAAAATGATCGACGGAGTAAGTCAATATGCTCCTCGTCCAGCCCCTCAAGTACTGTCGCATAGCTGGAAAAGTTACAATACGTCGTAACTTTTCCCGAATGAGCCCTCAGATCGTTGTCGATATGATATTCCATCCTACAAAATTAATACATGTTAAAACCATATAAAAGAAATTTTAAATAAAATATCGTACCTTCAAATTTAACCAATCAAATTTCATATTAATAAACCAATAAATAAATTCATCTAATCACATATTAAAATAATTAAACAAAAAAATTTCCACATATTTGACTATTTAATATTTATTTAAAAATTATATTTCGTTAATTATCTAACTCTATATATATATATTATTTACAAATTTATTCGATTTTTCGTTTTACAATTTCTTTAATTAATTATCTTAATTGATGAAGTACAAAAAATATTATTCAATTTCATTTATTCTTTAAATATTTCGTTATTTATGTATATTATTTATTTCGATCATTTATTTGAATAATATTTATTCAATTTTTCGTTTTACTATTTCTTTAATTCATTATCTTAGTTCGTTAAGTAAAAAAATTAT